TATATTAAATGTCTTATAGATAATTTTGTTTGATTTAAGTTTTTTATTTTTGTTTGTGGCAGTGCTGGGAATTTAAAAGCCTCATACATCCTGGATAAGCATTCTATCACTGGAGGTACAGCCTCAGACATGTTTTAAAGTGTACCTTCAACATAAAACATAATAAAAGTTTGAAATCATATCAATATATTTTCCTCATCTTACTGTTATATAAAAACATAATCATAGCATATGAGAAATCTCACTATCTCCTTAAATTTTGCACTATGGATCGAACATAGATCATATTCATGTGTACCTCATCCAACATCCATTGAACACACGCATCCACTTATTCTGGAAGAAGTGAAGAAAAAGCACAGCCCTCAATTAAGGCACACAATGATGGTAAGCTAATTACAGTAGTGTGACTGGTGTTTCTACTGAGAGATATGACAGCTGAGGAGGAAAACGAGTGAGGAATGTGGGAGGAGAATGATACCCGAGTGAGAAATTATGGATGGCAAAGGGTGAGGCAGGTTGTAACTGAGTACTTCCTAGAAAGAACACAAATAAGAAAGGCACAAAACACCTTATTTGCAGTGACCTGGAACTTAGAGATTTTAGGGATTTTAACAACAAGAGCCTAAACATGATCAGATCTATGTTTTAGAACTTTACTTAGGATGAGTGTGGAAAATGAAATGAATTTAAGAAGTTTTGGGGCAAAGAAATAACTCCAGAGTCTAACAACTATTAGGAGAAAGTAGAAGGGTCTGAACAAAGGCTGTTGGTAGTAGAAACTGAGAAAGAAAGGGATAAAGGGTTATTAAATTTGCCCTGGGTCCCAGTTCTTCCTAAGTGGTCCAAGAATTATTGCCTATTTTTCCTCTTTCTAACATGTATGATTTATTAATAATCAAGAAGCAATTATTGGTGACTAAAACTTACTGTATTGTTACACTGTGCCAAGCACTATAATAGTGCTTTACATTCATTAGTTAATTGCTATTCTACTACAAAAGAATTTGAGGCCAGGCTGGGAATTTAGCTCAGTGGCACCATGCCTGCCTCTCAAGTGCGAGGTCCTGAGTTCAATCCCTGATACCAGAAAATAAATGAACAAATAAATAAATGAATAAGAAACTGAGGCCCAGAGAGTTGAAGCAACTTGTCCTAGGACACACAGCTGGTCAGCAGTGCAGACAGTTAGAAACCCTTGCTGTTTGAATCATTATACCTCATCCACCCACCCCCAAAACCACTTCCTACTTTTTCAGTTTTCACTTTCTAGGACTCCTGATCTTTTAATCTGAGTTCTGTCCTTTCTTAAAAGATAAGCTCTTTTGCTCTTTCACCTTCCAATCAATTGTCCAGTCCATTTCTTTTCATGTAATGTTGGTCTTGAATCCATAGCAATATCTGTCTTCTAACCAGTTATTTTCTCCTTAAATTTCAGCATTTTGGTTTCTGAATCTTCTAAATGTACTCATGTTACTGTCCTGGAAAATTCAAAATATGTTGCCATCCTTTCCTTTGTGTTCATCCAAGTATTTTGCATTATTAACCTTTTCTTTTATTCCTCAAAACTTTTCTCCCTATAAGTGCTAGGAAACTTATTCTCCCAGCCCAGTGGTTCCTTTTATGTCTCTTTTACCAGATCTTTCAGATGGAGGAACTGTTCCGTTTCTTCTATGTTTCACGCATGCCATCACTAGTTTGTATTTTTCTTTTCTTTTCTTTTTGTCCTATGCTGTTCTCTCAATATGATCCCTCACTTACTCTTCACATTACAATCCCAATTATTATAATAAAATATAAGTATCTTCCTGTCTAAATTTCCAACGTTTTTTCAAGACTCAATTTCAAAGCATCTTTGAAGACTTTTGCTCTCATGGCTTATCAACAACATGCATTGTATTTTACAGTCTTTCCAATACCTTTTCCCTGATGAAGTTGTCAGAAGACCGAGGATGTCCTTTTGCAAGCAAAGAAACTTTACAAAGGATTCATTAGTGTTAGTGTTTTACAGAACTACTCCCCCAAGAGCTCTACTAGAAAAAATTATAGATCTCTTTGTCAAAATACATGCCTACCAAACTGACAAAATCGAAACCTGGCAATATTAACATGGGGTAAAGAGACCAGTTGGTGTCTAACAGTGGTTGAATTAATGCATCTCACCAGCTAGGAGTTCCTGGAGGGCAGGGATCCTTCGTCCCACTCTAAGCTGAGCCTCCAAGCAAGTGTGATTCAGTGAGTAAACATTCCATTGAATCAACAACTGGCCAGGTTTCCAGGAACTCTGGAAGTCCTGTGCAAGTAGATGTTGAAAATTCTTGCAGGGCACAATCAGGATGACACAGAAATCAACTCTGATCGGAGACGCGTGTGCAACAAGATTCTAGAAGTTCCAGCTTGGAGTAGGATGAAGAGATCTCAGGCCAGAGAACAAGTTTATTTACCATTTCCAGTATCAGTACAACGTATCAAAAACACAAGTAAGTAAAACACAAGGTTCCTGGTTACTTTTGCCCTCTTCAACTCTGCTTCAGGGATCATGAGTTGGTGGTTCTTACAAAAACTGAGACAAAAGAGCAACTTCGCTACTTTGCTGGTTTGTTTGCTTGCTCTGGAAAGGAGGCGGGTGGTATCCAAGCTCCCAAGGCTCTCTGCGCTGCTCTTCTACCCGGCTGATCTTTTAAGGCACTAAAGGAAACATTTTTTTTTTTTTTTAGGAAATAACTTTTCATCGCTCAGTTCACCACCAGTCACACAGCCAGAGGCTGAGGAGGAAGGTCTCACTCGGCATTGGCTGCCTGAGGCAAGTCTAGAAGGCAAAGATCTCAAAACCCTGTACTCCCGGAGGGCAGGTGTCGCAGCCCTGGGTTCCGGACGCCGTCTTGACAGTTTCATCCCCGCCCACAGGCAGGAGAGCGCCTGGCCAAGCAGCACGCTGGCGCGCAGGGGGCCATAAAAGCAGCTACGGCGGCGTAGAGACGCGGAGCTTGCACACTGCCTGCCAGGGCGATCTGTGGCCACACCATGCATGTGAACGGCAAAGTGGCGTTGGTGACCGGTGCTGCGCAGGGCATAGGCAGAGCCTTTGCAGAGGAGCTGCTGCATAAGGGCGCCAAGGTAAGCACGGAGCCTGGCCGCTGTAACTTACCTCCCCCTCCCCACGCACCGCCGCCCAGGGGTCCCGGGAGATAGAGGAACGCTCAGCCTGCCCGCCTTGTCACTTCCGAAAGCTCTGCTCCCAGCCTCTGGGGCTGACTTTGAAAGCGACTGCCATTGAACCTAAACTTCGCCAAACTTCAGGTCTGGCAGCGGAGCGTCTGGTTTCTTTTTTTGCGCCTCTGTTTCATGAGCTGCTCAGAACCTGTATTACTCTCCTGCCATTTCAGGTAGCGCTGGTGGATTGGAATCTTGAAGCAGGTGTAAACTGTAAAGCTGCCCTCGATGAGCAGTTTGAACCTCAGAAGACCCTGTTCATCCAGTGTGATGTGGCCGACCAGGAACAATTGCGAGGTAAGACAGGGGAATCAATCCATCAACTTGAAACACACCCTGAACAAGCAACAACCTGAAGGCAGCCTGGGCGAGAGAGCCGGCCCGGCACAGCGCCAGGCTGACTACCTCCTGGAGAACCTTTCATGCTCCAGAGGATGGCTTGGACTGTTGCTCTTCCTATTGACAACTAGTGGTCATAAAAAGTAAGGAGAGACAGGGTTGCCTGAGAAATCCTTTTATTTTAGTCATTTGTCAGCAAGAAGTGTAATCAAAACTCCTTTGTGTACTCAGAGACACTGCTGTAACGTAATTATTAAATAATGGCAATTGCTGACCGACCTTGGAAGTTAAAATTGGCAAACAACTTCTCTTGGAAAACTAGGAGACAGAGTTCAACGACAATCAAATGTGGCAGTGTTCGTCTTTAGAACATAATAGATTATAAATTCAAGGATCTTGGTCACAGAGATCCTAGAGGCTTTTAGCCATGTGTTTTCCCTGACTTTCCCCTATGAAACGGTATTTTAAAATAATAATAACAGCACTTGGTTAGAATAGCAGAAGAAAAGTCTCTATCAGCCTTTCCTCAATGCTTTCCTGTTTCTGTGTACTCACTTAAAATAGATCATCTACTTGTGAAATATAAGGGACACCATTGGTGTGGACAGAAAACAGCTCTGTTCATATACAGACAGGGCCTGATAGATTTGCATAAAAAGTATTTTCCTAGGGAAAATAGAAAAAATAAATTGTTTGCATTTCATAAAGTTTTATTCAAAGAGATTGAGTGAATTGTTAGGCACATTTTTAGTCCAGGAGTCAGATGAATTTCATAAATTTTGCTCTAGTACTCCTCATTATGGGACACTGCAGTATGAATTTATTTTAAAACTTTTAGTATATTCTGTAAGAATGAAAGTGGATGGTTATGTTAGAAGAGATTGTACTTCATGGAAATTGTTTTAAAGGAAGTTATGTAATTATAATCCACAAATGCTGTAAAGACCTGTAACACAGATGACATGCATCAGAAGAACAGTTCTATAAACACAGTGCTAGTAGAATTGCCAGAGGATAACTTTGTTGGTTGCACACGATACTTTGGTTTGAGAAGAGAGTAGTGTTTAATCCCAGCACTCATGCTGATGGAATAAGGAACTGTATAGATAATCGGAAAATGATTTGTGTCTCAATTTATGTAATTTCGCACATGATATTTAAGCTCAGTTACTTTGCTTTGCATTGTTTAAAATTAATGCCTTGTCTGTAAACACGTTACTCAAGGAAGAAACCAAGAGTGACCTGGGGAGGGCATGCTTCTCATGAGAAATCCCCACAATGTCTGGACATTTGCAGTTATCTGCATCAACGAAAAGTGTGACACCAATTCTTTCCATTTCAGGACTTATGTTGATTACAACTCTTAAAACTGTTGATAGACACACTGAATTTATAAAATACTTCAGCTTGAGTAGGTGTTTGGAGGTGACCTAGACCTGACTAATTTTACAAATTAACAAATTGCAGCACAGAGTTTAGATAAGTTATAGAGAATGCCACAGGAGGTAAATTAGAAGACATTTAAGGTCAGTGGGATGTCAGGAAAGAAAAATGATGTCTCTCTCACATCGGTAAAGGCAGGAGACCAGAATGAAGAAAGAAAATTACAGAAAAATTAGACATACATATTTAACAATTTAATTTCCCACAAAGCGGGACAGTTTCTGAAGAGTTATAAAGAGTGGAACCGATTTAAGATAGAAAGGCAGAAAAAAAGAGAACTTAGTATTCTACGTCTGACCTTTTCTGGAACCAATTTGAGATGTTCAGAAACAGTTTTAAAATTCCATGAAAAAGTAAACAGGTTTTATTTTTTGTTATTGTTTTCTTTCCCACTATAGTGAGTGTAAAGGGATACATATTAGAAATCCTTGACAAAGTTTTCAGCCACTAACTTGCACAGCAGATTATCCGTTTGCAAACTGGTCAATAAGTGCTTTTCCAAATATGTATGGTGGTCATTAATAATTGTATGAATTTGTTTCACTCAAAATAAGTTTATGTTGATCTACTTTTTTAAAGGAGCAAATATGCCAGCTTGGATATCTGAGAACGCATTTCTATGCTTTGGAATAATAACTGCAATTGTTATCTATACTCTGAAGTAATAGAACCAGGCTGAATAATACAAGACCATCAGAAACAGTCTCAATCAATAGAACTACATAAAAGGCTGCTTTGAAAAATAATGAATTTCTCACTGTTAAGGTGGAAAGGCCTAGTTTGGACTGGATAAAAAGGATTTTCAAGAATTAAATGGAATTAGTGACACTGAGGCCTCAGAATCCAGACTTTACCCTGTTTGAACAGAGTTTTAATACAAACTTATAATGTAAAGTAGTAATAAATAGTGATAAGGAGAGAAAATAAAATAGCAAACATAAAGTTTCATTAAATCAACTGAATGAAAAGTAGATTTTTATGAGTAGACTATAAAATCTTCCTCAAATAGTCATAATGGATTTGAACACATAAGAAAACTTATGTTAACATGATACTTTTAAAGCATGATACGGCTTGTTAATAAAAGATGTCTGTCACAGTCTATGCTGTAGTCCAATAACTTCCTAGCTAGCTGAGCTGAAAAGATACTGACTGCTCAAGTTGACAGCTCTCACCTTAGGATGCTCGATTTTTTAAAATTTACTGCATTAAAGTTACTGCTTATAGATCTGCAATACAGATAATCTAAGGGTATGATAAATTAAGATACTGACTCAGTAGGTATGTGGTGTTCACAAAATTCTATATTTTTTTCACAACTTCCTCAGTAATGCTGATTGAGCCTGCAGCTCCACAAATCACATGTTGAGAAGCAAGGATTTTAAGTTCCAGGTCATGTGTGTGCTTTTCACTGTAAAGGAAGATAAAAATCCATTACATGGCATAAGGTTGGATTTAAATGCTTATATGGACATTAAAATGTATCTATGGTGACTTTTTTAAATTAGATACTTTTAGAAAAGTTGTGGACTACTTTGGAAGATTGGACATCTTGGTCAATAATGCTGGGGTGAATAATGAGAAAAACTGGGAAAAAACACTGCAGATTAATTTGGTAAGCTATTTTATTCATATTTATTCCCTAAATCATCTGATAACATGATGTTTATAAAAGAATAAACGAAGCTTGTAATTTTTTACAAATGAAACAACGAGCCACAATATAGAAAATGGAAATTAGAGAAGGAAAGAAGAAAAGGCATTTCCTTTTACATTTAAGAAGACATTTGAGACTTAGAATTATTAAAATGGGCCTGTCAAGATTTTAAGAGGAAATAAGAAAAAAAAACGTAGTTTGTTGTAACTCAGGGATCAGCATACTCCTAACTACAGGTCACAAGGGCCACCTGTGACCTGCAATATAAAAATGGTTACCTTTTTAGATGGCTGAAAAATAATAAAATATATGAATATTTAAAATTCAGATTTCAGTGTCATGAAAGTGGTACTGGAACACAGCCACAGTCACTGGTCTTGTATTGCCAATGGCTACTTTTATGCTGTGATGAATGGCAGAGTTGAATGATGTAACAGAGGCTGCATGGATGGCAAGAGCTAAAATATGAACTATCTAACCGTTTACAGAATGAGCTATACAAACCCTAACTTTCCTTATTTGTCTGAAGAATAAATCTTAATAAATGCTAGAACATGGCAGAAATATAGTTAAAAGTAAAAATGTAACTTCTATTTTTTGTTTATTTTCATCAGTATCTGTTTGCGTTGCATAATGATTACATGTATTACGGGGATAGGAACGTGTACAAAACACCTCTGATTTCTTTTCTTGTCCCCCACTCCTCCCACTCATCCCTGCTTCTTCCATCTGTTGGTGCCCCTCCAATTTGCAAAGGCTCTATTTCCATTTTGCTCTTTCAATTCTTTATTTTTTCATCCTCTTTCTCTCCCCTACCTCTCCCTCCTTCCATCTCTGGTCCACATTCCCATTTGAAAAAGATCTTCCTACTTCCTATTATCTATCTTTAATTTTAGGTTTCTCACCTAACAGTGACCATGTAATATTTAAGCTTGAGTGTCTGGTTCATTTCATTTAATATTATGACATCTATTAACCTATAAGTGCCTCAAGTTTATTCTTTTTTATGACAGAGTAGTACTTCACTGTAAATGAACACCGTTTATTCATTCATCTGTTGATGGATATATAGGCTATTATGAACTCTGCTGCCATAAACATGGATATTTATGTATCACTGTACTATGATGATTCTTGCTAGAAGGCGAATAGCTGGGTCAAATGAAATTTCTAATTTTAGCTTTTTGTGGAATCTCCATACTGATTTCCATTGTGGTTTCACTAGTTTACATTTCCTCCTATAGTATAGAAGGGTTCCTTTCTCCCTGAAGCCTCACCAGATATGCTATGGCTTTATTTCTTCATTATATTCTTTCAGGAGTAAGATATTATCTTAGAACATTTCTCTGATAGCCAGCAAAGCTGAACATTTTCTCATGTGTTTAGTGCACTAAATTTGAACTTCTGAGAAGGGTCCATTCATTTCAGTAGCCCATTTTTTTTATTAGACCTTTTATTTTGGGAGGTCTAATTTCTTGAATTCTTTATATATTCTAGATGTGAATCATCTGTCCAAAGAATAACTGGCAAAATTTTGCCCGTTATGTATAATGTCCCTTGACTCTGTTGGTGGATTCCTTTGCTCTGAAGGTTTTTAATTTTATAAGATCCTATTTGAGAATTCTCAGACTATGTCTTGTGCAACTGGGGTCTGTTCAGAAAGTCCTTGCCTACCTATATCTTTGAGAGTTTTAGCTATTTTGTCTCCCAAAAGATCAAGTGTTTCTGTTTTAACATTTAGATCCTTGATCCATTTTGAATTTAGCTGAGGAGATGGGGAGAGATATGGATCTAGACTCAATCTTCCGAATGTGGATGTCCAAATTCCCGGAATTATTTGTTTAAAAGTGTATGTTTTGGGCCCTTTTGTCAAAGCCAAATAGCTGAATGTACTTGAGGTTGTTTTTGCTGTTCCATTGATCCACATGTTGTTTTTTGTGCCAGTACCATGCTGTTTTTATCACTGTAGTTTTATACTATGACTTTAAATCAAGGATTATGATATCGCCTGCTTTATTTTTACTACTCAGGATTTCTTTTGCTATTCTGGGTCTTTTTTGACTCCATATGAATTTTATGATTGCTTTATTTAGATCGGAGAGAAATGCTGTTGGTATTTTCATTGTGATGGCATTCAATCTATAGATCAGTCTTGGAAGTACACTCATTTTGACTATATTGATTCTGTCCATCCAGGAACACTTTCTGATGTTCTTTTCAATCTCCTTTTTCAGAGTAATACAATTTTCATTGTAGAGGTCTTTTACTTCACTGGGTAGGTTAATTCCTAAGTATTTAATTTCTCTTGATGCTATTAAGAATGGTATCATTTTCACAATTTTTTTCTCAGTGAGTTAATAGTTTACAGGAACACTATTGATTTTTGTGTGTTGATTTTGTATTCTACTGCATTGCTGAATTTGGTTATTAATTCTAGGGGTCATTTGGTGGGATTTTTGGGGTCTTATATTCAGAGGATAGTGTCTTCTGCAAATAAAAATACACCAACTTCTTCCTGCACTATTCTTTCTATTTCTTTCTCTTGCCTGATCGTTCTGACTAGTGTTTAGAGGACTGTGCTGGAGTGGTGACAATGGGTATCCTTGTTTAGTTTATGTCTTTAGGAGGAGACTTTCATTTTCTCCCCAATTAATATATGGCAGTAGGTTGGTCAAATGACTTTCATCAGACTGAGGTACAGTCCTACATGTATAAGCTTCAAAGTTTTTATCATGAAAAGATGTTGGAATTTGTCAAAGGCTTTTTGTGCCTCTAATGAGATGATAATATGATTGCTGTCACTGCTTCTGTTTGTGTGATGTGCTACGTTTATTAATTTAAATTTGTTGAACCATTCTTGATTCCCTAGAATGAAGCCAACTTACTCATGGTGTATGACCTTTTTGATGATTTGCTGCATTTTGCTTGCTAGCATCTTGTTGAGGATTTTTGCACCAGTATTTATTAGAAAGATGGCCTGCAGTTCATTTTTTTTTTTAATTGGGTCTTTGTCTGGTTTGGGAATTGGAGTAATGCTGGCTTTTAGGAACATTTTGGGAGTAGTAATTTCCTTTTGATTTCATTAAAAAGTTTGCAGAGAGCTACTTCCTGTGGGTCTTAGAGAATTCAACAGTTAATAATTCAGGCAGGTTCCAGGCTTTTCTTAGTTGGTAGGTTTTTTTATCACTGATTCAGTGTCATTGCTTGCTATTGAATTATACAGCATTTTTAAGTCTTCATAGTTTAGTTTTGGTATATAGGAATTTATCCATTCTTCTAATTTCTCCAATTTATTGGCATAAAGGTTTGTGAAGTAGTCCCTAATAATCTTCTGGATTTTAGCAGTGTCCATTGTGATTTCACCTTTCTCATTAATTTGGGTCTTTTCTTTCCTTTTTTTTTTTTTAAGTTTGGCTAAAAGTTTATTTTCTTAATTCTTTCCAAGAACTAGCTCTTCAATTTATTAATGTTTTGTATTGTTTTTTGGTATTCATGTCATTGATTTCTTCTCTAATTTGTATAATTTCTTTTCTCGCACAAGTTCTGGATTTGGATTGTTTTTGTTTTTCTGTCACCTTGAGGTACATCTCTAGGTTAGTTAGTTATTTGGGCTGTTTTTCTGCTGTGGACATTCACACATTTGAACTTCCCTCTTAACACTACTTTTTGTCTCATCCTTCTGGTATGTTTTACTGGAATTATCATTTAACTCTAGGAATTTTCTTATTTCTTCCTTAATTTATTTTGTACAAATTTTGACTATTTTGCACTTTGTTGGATATTATGTAGTCTATTTTGGGAAATGTTTCATGGATGCCAAGAAGAATGTATATTCTGTTGTTGGGTGGAACACACTATGTATACCTTTTAAATCTATTTGTCTGAAGGTTCAGTTCAACTCTGATATTTCCTTGTTGATTTTTTCTCTAGTTGATTTTTCGATTTGTGATAGTGGTAATGAGTTTCCTAAGTAAAATTTTGTTGATGTTTATCTGATTTTTTATGTCTATTATCATTTATTTTATGAAGTTGAGTGTGCCTCTCTTTGATGATATGTTTATAATTTTTATTCTTTCTACTGAATAGTTCCCTTAACTATATGTAGAGTTCTACTTTGCCTCTTCTGTTCAGTCTTGGTTTAAAAATCCACTTTGCCTGAAAAGAAAACACTATTTTTAGTGTATGATTTTGGTTTTGGATTATGCAGCATACCATTGAACTTTGTTTCTTGATCTCTTAATGGTCTGACAACCTGTATTTTTTATTGGCAAACTGAGATCATTTGCTTTGACAATTATAAATGATAATAACTGATAAGTATTGATTTATTCATGTCATATATTATTTTCCTCCTGCTGATTTCCTTTTTTTTACTCGTCTACTTAACTCTTTGCTCTACCTGGTGCTTCATTGGGCCTTATGGTATGGCAGCTTTCTAGGATCTCCTTCAGTGTATTTTGAAGTGCTGGCTTGATGGTCATGAATTCCTTTAGGTGGTCTTTATGCTGAAAATATCCTATTTCTCCATCAATTTTGAAAGATAATTTTGCAGGTTAAATCAGTCTGTTGGAAAAAAAAAGTTGTTTTTTTTTTCTAGTTTGAGATTTGTGTTGAGTTTGTTGTGATTCTAAAGGTTTATCTTTCTTTTGTGTTGTTATGGTTGGGTTTGTTTGTTTTGGTACCTGGGATCAAACTCTGATCCTTGGGCTTACAAGGCAAACGGTAGAACCACTGAGCTAAATAGCCGGCCCATAAAGGTTTTTCTTTTTTAAGCGATTTGTTCCCTTTCTCTAAAAGCTTTAAAGATTCTGTCCTTGTGTTGGATGTCTGATATTTTGACAATGTGTCACACAGAGGTGCTTTTCTGACCTTGGCTATTTGGGCTCTGTATGCCTTACTTATTATCTTCATGTTAAATTATTTTTCCAAATTGGAAAGTTTTCTGCTACAACTTCTTA